GTAAATGTGTATTGTTTGTGTTGTTGATCTAATGTTTGCTGTTGCATTGAATCGGAGTTAACAGAAATGGCGTTTTATTCACCTTTTAGTTTCCCCAAATGCACAGTGGCAACAGTAAAACCACACTATCAGAAGTCAACAACAAGGATACTGCATTAGCATATTACAGTCAGGGTAACAAGAGAGAAATAGTGTGTGTCACAGTTAAAGATGGCTGAGTAAGGTGCTAAAATCAGATTTACTGCTTGCAACGTGGCCCCACACAACACACACACACACACATATATCATACACACATATATCATGAGGAGTGATGTTCCCAACCACACTTCAAACGAAACATCCCAGTTTCCTTCGATATATTCAGTACAGTGCAGATGTGTAATAAAACTGTCTCCAAGGTTCATATGAAAAAAGGAAGATTTTAGGGAATATTAAAATTAAATAAATTTCTAAAGCATATCTCACTCTTTGACATCTTGAAGCCTTGGTCAGGTGACTTCATCTGACATTAGAAGAAGCCTGTGACAGGACTGGTGTTTGAACTACTGTAACACACTAGCCAGAGTCAATTCCATTTGAATTCACCACCTTTACTGTAAAGTTTCACAGTTTTAAATGCTGGTATGCCCAGAATTTAATGTCAATTCATGGGGGAGAGTTTAAATGTAAGAACTTAGTGCAGTGTGTTAAAAATGCATCTTCTCTCATCAGTTAGGGTCTCAAGGTGTTCTGCCATATGTACATGGGACAGAAATGAGGGCAAAGGATGAACATGTAAAAACACAACAGCCTCTCTTTGCTCTGCAACACATTCTGCTCATCAGTGAGAAGTGTCACACATTCACAGGAAACAAAGCACTCCTCAGCAAATATTCATCCTGTCAGAGTCCATCCAATTTACAAACAAAAGCTTGGAAAAATCTTTTTAACAGTTTTTAAATTTCTGTCTGAATACACTTGCTACCATACAAAACAAGAGCATGATTTTTTTTCTAATGTTATGTGGTTTTTGTATATGTAATTTTAAGTGCATCTTATCACAACCTTAGGGGGCACATGGGCCTGTGCCTCTGTATGAAGTGACATAGTGATTTAGAATTCATAGAGGTCAGTTAAAAAACACAAAACACAAACATAGAGACAAAAACAACATGGCAAATCACCACAAGAGACACAACACTTATTACAAAAGATGTAAAATAACTAAAATTAGTTTTAAAAAAAACAAAAAAACCCCACAAAATTACTTGTGAGAGTTGTAAAATGGCCAAAAAAGACAAAAGTACTTCAGAGATGACAAAAAGACCACACCATAAAGACAACATACACAAAGCGACTACAAACGATGTGACCCTGTCCGTATGGGGTCCTATGTAGGAGGAGTGGGGTACCTTTAGCATGTCTGTGCCCAGGGGCCCATTGTCTCATAGTCCATCCATGGCCATGATTGACAGTCAGTAAAGGAGTAGAAAATATTACTATACTTTTTATATTTTTGTGTTGTACTCTTTACCTCTTTCCTGTAGGGAA